AGCCTTGATGAGCATAAGAGACTTCTTTAAAAACATTACAAGACTTACTGATCCCAAACTTTTGAGCGGTAGTGTATGTTGTGCTTATTCATGTAGCGGAGACTTTTATTCAAAGCAGCTTACAAAGCGTTTAATAAAGGTTTCTCAACTCTGGCCCTCAATGTTCTCTGTCTTGCAGAATTGAGCTTTAACCTTAACTCACCTGTCTATAATAACCTTGATTTGCTGGTTGTTTAGCGTTAATGTTAAACTCTGCAGGACAGTGGACCTTGAGGAACAGAGTTCAGAAACCCTGGGAATTGAACCCACAATCTTTACTAGTACCATGCTCTACCAATTGTTGAGCTATTGGATCAAATTCTATATCATCATAATTGTATACATCACAATATAAATTCAACATCAAAGGGAAATTGTGACCTTTTGTTTGTCCCTGTTGTGATGTACAGCCGTGTGAAACGGTTTCTCGATTGTTTTCTAATTGCTGAGATTGCACGTTAATTCTTTGATTTAAAGATTAGGAACTTTTTAAATAACGATGTGCATGGATGAATTATTTCATTTTGCAATATATTAATTTAGTTTATATTTAATATATATATATTTAATTTTGTTTATATATTTAATAACCATGTGGTAATGCCTATTTGTGGTGATATAGTAAATTAAATACTTGTATTTTAAAGCTACACATTTGATTAGATTAAGTTCTCTTTTTATTTAGAACTTGATGGACAAAGGATGATAATAAATAAATTACAAGTCTGTCATCTATTCAAAAAACAGCTTTGCATTATATAGTCATTATTTATTATTATTCTAATAATATTTTCACATCACTCTATGTTCTTTATCTCTCTCTAATGTATGCCTTCCTTCCTAAAACATATAAACGGTATAGTAAAATCTACCAGCTGACACATTTCTACCTTTGCATGGTAAATACTGTCATTCAGCACAGCCCTGTTTACTTACCACGCTGGTTCTATACCAGAATCAACACATGAATCACAAAATTTGATGTATAGTATGCATATTTTCTTTTCCATATTAGAAGTTCACATAATATAATTCATCTTAGCACTTTTGAAATCTCCTTATCCGTTTAAGTTGGCAATTTTACTCATTCTGAAGCGTTTTGTGCAATCGTAGACCAGCCTGAGTTTTCTCGTGCAACTGTGCTGCGTTTTAATGCAATTTTAACATGGCCCAGGGCTGCTCTGGGAATGCCAGGAGTGGGACGGGAATGCACAACACACAGATTCCACAGAAATCATATAAAAGGCCAGTTCAAGTCTGCTAAAGAAAAGAGAGATAGTTGTGTGTCAGAAATGGGGGGGTCATTGCTGTGACAATCCTGGCTCTGAGTGGCAGAGAATGGGCCTTGTGTCTGGGCTGGTACTGGGGTACCAGGCGCTGCTCTGCGGACAAAAGCCGCAATGTAACTGTGGCGGGGAGTGCGAGGGGCTGGAATGAGAAGCTTCTGGAACGCTGCAGAGGAGGAAAACAGTTTAGTGCATTAATACAGGGATGGGTCTGTGAGGCACACACACACACACTTTGAGACCTGTTGGTAGCTCAGGAGGAGGTGTGTGGGGGGCTCGTGTTAATGACAGAGGTCTTTCTGCTGCTCACAGTGCTTTATTTGTTTACAATTGCCCCCATAGTCTTGCTGAGACAGACAGAGGGAAGGGGGCAGAGGAGCGAGGCTTATTATGTGCTCATGGCATTACTTGCGTGAGCAGACGCATTTGGCATGTGCCGAGCTGCACTGCAGACATACGTCCAGCTCCTGGTGGGACACTTGGCACTTTAAACACTGATCTCAGCCGGAGTCGCTAGTTTTACTGGAGCTTTGAGTTGAGTTGGCTCCAGCTGAGAGTTCCAATCGGATGCATTATGGGAATGTTGTGTGATGGCATATCTCAGCGCGAGGAGATGCGCTCCGTCGCTGGGAAGGAAGACAGACAGCGCTGCTTTCTCAGCTGTCCGAGGGCTTGGAGGGTTAAACCCCTGGCTTATGAATGGAGACATGGAGAACTGGAGATGTATGGCACCTTCATTCCACTGCATTGTTGGACCTTCATCCTATGGTTTCTTGCCAGACAAAGAGAGCTGCTCTTCGTCTATATCTTCGACATCCAAGCTTATCTGCTAAATTACGATGGTTCAAGGTGTGTCCAGAGTGTCTAAAGTTTTGTGTCAATTTCTTTCATTTTGAATCTCGGTGTGCTAGTAGAAGAGGTAGTTTGAGATCACTGTGGTTCTCCCTGGATATTGCTCACTCTTCCTTGATATTTGTCCACTTTCATACCGCTCATTGTGTGTTCAGTTCATCCATTTGTATGTCTCTGCCAACTCTGAATGTATGATTTCTCTCTGTTTCCCTCAGTTCAGCTGCTGAAGTCTACAGATTTCGGACGCCACAGCCTCCTCTACATAAAAGAAATGGGACAGGGCTGGTTTGGCAAGGTGAGGCCTTTTTCAACCCAAACGATACCGTGATGGGGCCCTGAGAAAATAGCAGTTTTTGAGTACCCTACTCATGGGGTTGACTTTGCACACAGTACAGTGGTCGTGTAATGCTGTCATATTCTCTTCATTCCACTGCATTGTTGGACCTTCATCCTATGGTTTCTTGCCAGACAAAGAGAGCTGCTCTTCGTCTATATCTTCGACATCCAAGCTTATCTGCTAAATTACGATGGTTCAAGGTGCGTCCAGAGTGTCTAAAGTTTTGTGTCAATTTCTTTCATTTTGAATCTCGGTGTGCTAGTAGAAGAGGTAGTTTGAGATCACTGTGGTTCTCCCTGGATATTGCTCACTCTTCCTTGATATTTGGCCACTTTCATACCGCTCATTGTGTGTTCAGTTCATCCATTTGTATGTCTCTGCCAACTCTGAATGTATGTTTTCTCTCTGTTTCCCTCAGTTCAGCTGCTGAAGTCTACAGATTTCGGACGCCACAGCCTCCTCTACATAAAAGAAATGGGACAGGGCTGGTTTGGCAAGGTGAGGCCTTTTTCAACCCAAACGATACCGTGATGGGGCCCTGAGAAAATAGCAGTTTTTGAGTACCCTACTCATGGGGTTGACTTTGCACACAGTACAGTGGTCGTGTAATGCTGTCATATTCTCATTATGAGCTACTGTTAAATGAACAGTTTTAGATAAATGGCACACTCTCTAAAATCTATGCTGCCAGTTTCACAGGTGGCAGGTGTGAGCCATGCTAATGTGCAGTTTGGGCTGGCTTTCAGGTTTTGCTGGGGGAGGTGAATGTTGGACTCAGTACCACACAGGTGGTAGTTAAGGAGCTAAAGGCCAGTGCCAGTGTACAGGAGCAGATGCAGTTCCTGGAAGAGGTCCAGACTTACCGGTACACACCTTTCCTCTTACTCCATTTTTTTTCTCTCCACCTCATCTTGTTATCTTATGCTGTATGCTGAACTATATTACACTTTTGTCAATACATCTCATTTGAGCCCCTTTCACACAGTGCATTGATCTCGGAAAATTGCCAGAGTGCCTTCTGTGTGAACGCAAACACGGATGGGGACATAGTAACATTGCCGGGATCAGTCCCGGAACAAGCCCTGTGTGAAAAAAAGGCAGGACCAATGCCATAAAGGGTGTGTCGTAGTGATGACGTACTCTTTTACCGGGTGTTTTGAAGGCAGATCAACATTGACGATGAACTCCATTTTTTTCTCTCCACCTCATCTTGTTATCTTATGCTGTATGCTGAACTATATTACACTTTTGTCAATACATCTCATTTGAGCCCCTTTCACACAGTGCATTGATCTCGGAAAATTGCCAGAGTGCCTTCTGTGTGAACGCAAACACGGATGGGGACATAGTAACATTGCCAGGATCAGTCCCGGAACAAGCCCTGTGTGAAAAAAGGCAGGACCAATGCCATAAAGGGTGTGTCGTAGTGATGATGTACTCTTTTACCGGGTGTTTTGAAGGCAGATCAACATTGACGATGAAAAAAATATGTGCAAACTGGAATGAAGCATTGATAAGTGAGCTCCACACTATCCGCGCTGAAGCTGAGATCGTTCGCCAGCTTAGTGGAACGGTACGCGTCACATTGCACGTCACATCATAATGTCAGGTGTCTTTGCGGGATCTTTACGGGATGTGTGTGTGAACACACGCACAGATTCCGGAAAATCAATGGCAGTGTGAATGAACCAAAATCAAACTATACCAAATTATCCATGTATTTTCCGGAATCTCTGTGTGAAAGAGGCTTTGATGGCACAAAATAAAACAACATTAACAATGGCTGTTATTTGGAATGTGTAACTAAACGGTTTCTCAAATGAGCAGTGTTTTGATGTTTGAGTGTGTGAATCCCACAGGTTGCTCCAGCATCCAGCCCTCCTGCAGTGTCTGTCCCAGTGTTCAGAAGTCACGCCCTACCTGCTGGTTATGGAGCACTGCCGCCTGGTAAGCCACTGAGTACCAACTGCTTCACCCACTGTACTCAGAACATACACTGAGTTGGTTTGACTACCCTTTAGAGTCTATACTAGCAGTCAGCAATCTTTTTAACATGCCATTTTTATAATATATCTATTATTAAACAATGCATTGAATTACACCTTTATTTTATAAGTATTGTTTTGAGAGCAAGAAACTACAAACCACATGAGTTTTTTTGAATCCAAGTGGCTCTGTGCTGTCCAGTTGACCATTCTTTAAGCCACACCTTCTAAATGTTACTGACCAATCCGAGCTTAGCAACTCTTGCCATAGAGTATAATCAGATTTTTGTTCTTTTGTCATGTAAGTCTATGGAGAATTTGGATAGTCTTTAAATCCAAAATAATACAGAAATAAAAGTTTGTTGCCAAGTCACTTACAATAGTGACACAAGGAACACAGAGAGTGCAGTATTTTTTTTGGTACCATTTTCATTTTTATATAAAAAATTAATTATATAGTTCATGCTGTGTATTAAACAGTCACCCTCAATTCCAAAATGATCATGCAACATGTGCAATAACATCTACAGTTTCGCCAAGTAATGTTTATTACTTTCCTATAATGTATCATATTTATATTATAACATATATATATAAACATATATATTTATGGATTTAAGTATACTATAGGTAATAGTAACTAAAGAGTTCACAGTACCATAGGGAGGATGTTGTCAAAATGTTAAAAACAGTTCTAATCACCATCAAATTAGGATTTTTTATTTGAGTGTGGCATAGGTGTTTGTCTTGATTCTGATTTCACAGTTTTAGCAGTTTTAATCATGGTAAGCCACTGAGTACCAACTGCTTCACCCACTGTACTCAGAACATACTCTGAGTTGGTTTGACTACCCTTTAGAGTCTATACTAGCAGTCAGCAATCTTTTTAACATGCCATTTTTATAATATATCAATTATTAAACAATGCATTGAATTACACCTTTATTTTATAAGTATTGTTTTGAGAGCAAGAAACTACAAACCACATGAGTTTTTTTGAATCCAAGTGGCTCTGTGCTGTCCAGTTGACCATTCTTTAAGCCACACCTTCTAAATGTTACTGACCAATCCGAGCTTAGCAACTCTTGCCATAGAGTATAATCAGATTTTTGTTCTTTTGTCATGTAAGTCTATGGAGAATTTGGATAGTCTTTAAATCCAAAATAATACAGAAATAAAAGTTTGTTGCCAAGTCACTTACAATAGTGACACAAGGAACACAGAGAGTGCAGTATTTTTTTTGGTACCATTTTCATTTTTATATAAAAAATTAATTATATAGTTCATGCTGTGTATTAAACAGTCACCCTCAATTCCAAAATGATCATGCAACATGTGCAATAACATCTACAGTTTCTCCAAGTAATGTTTATTACTTTCCTATAATGTATCATATTTATATTATAACATATATATATATAAACATATATATTTATGGATTTAAGTATACTATAGGTAATAGTAACTAAAGAGTTCACAGTACCATAGGGAGGATGTTGTCAAAATGTTAAAAACAGTTCTAATCACCATCAAATTAGGATTTTTTATTTGAGTGTGGCATAGGTGTTTGTCTTGATTCTGATTTCACAGTTTTAGCAGTTTTAATCATTTTATTGCATAATTTAACAATTTAAAGAAAAAAAACATTGCTTTGTTTCATTCTAAGACAGAAAAGGATAATATTCTCTCAATTTTTACTATATGAGCACATTTACTGAAAACATGCTCCTCACTGACATTTTCTATTAATTTCTGTAAAGCTGGTTCTGAGCATCCTGGAGGGGGGTGGGGGGGTGGGGGGTTCATTAAACAGCTTAATGCTCCCTCTGCTGGTCATATTAGAAGTTGTTAGAAACTGACACAATGCGACCAGAATTACAGCTGCTGGCAGCAAAAAGGTAGTGGACTTTATGATAACACAGATTAGCGTTCTTGTGTTGTCCTTAAGAATGGTGTTTACTTTATGCAGGGAGACGTTAAAGGATACCTCCGTAGCTGTCGGGCAGCAGACTCAGTGACCCCTGACCCTTTGATCCTTCAGCGGATGGCATGCGAGATAGCTTCTGGTCTTCTGTACCTTCACAAACACAATTACATTCACAGGTGAGGATCCAGTAACCTTTGGCCTTCTCCCCGCATACTGATCCACCCGCCGCTCACTGGACGTCCAGCTCTGGTGTCTCCAGGCAACAATATCCTGGTGCTGCCTGAGTACATGTCACAGACTCCAGCATCAGTGATTTTGTTGCTGGGGGAAAACCCCTTGCTCAACAAACATCATCAATTATTTGTAAGTCCCCCATGAAGAAAATGTTAGATGACACTCATGACAGAGTGACAAAGGAAGTCTGCAAAGTTTGCCAATGACAGGAACTATAAATGATGCAAACATTGCTCCACTCTGTCCTGTTCTCAGTGACCTGGCCCTAAGGAACTGCCTGTTGACCTCAGAGCTGGCAGTGAAAATTGGAGACTATGGCCTCAGCCACAGCAAGTACAAGGTGAGTCTGTGAAGGCTTTTTGGATTGCAGCCACACTGATCCTATTATTTTGACATGTTCTTATTATTTCTTCTTATTCAATATCAATGCATCCTTTCCCTCTGTTAGGATGACTATTATGTGACAGCAGATCAAATATGGGTTCCTCTACGTTGGATTGCCCCAGAACTTATTGATGAAGTCCACGGCAATCTCTTAGTAGTGGACCAAACCAAGTCCAGCAATGTCTGGTGAGAAATAAATAAGAGAAAAACACAGAGGACAGAGGTTCTCTACCTTGAGGTCACAGGAGATTTATTTTGTATTAAATTGTTATATTAAGGTTTTCAGCTTAATTTTTAAAGATAAACCTGTATATAAAATATGCCAAAATATGTGCACTAAAATGTCACTTCGATGCAAAGGTGAACTGAGTATAATAATCAGGATGCCGCAAATGGTGAATGCAGAACTAGCACTTATTTGGATACTCAATTTGGGTAATGTTTGGCTTATCCAAGAAGAGATACGCTATGCTTTCAAGGATAATCTTGGGCTTTGACAAGCTTCAGCACAACACACAAGCTCAGCACCTTTCAAAAAGGTAAAATTTATAATCAAAATTTGCAGCCTACAATATCCTGAAGTATATGTATTAATTCTGTGCAAGTTCCCACAAGCTTTGGAGTAAAAAAAAACATAATCAACAAAAAAAGCTTGAGAACCTCTGCCCTGTGACATACTATATATGTGTAAAAATTAAGCTCCATACTTTTTGCACTTTAAACAAATTTCCTACCAACAGACGGTTTGCTGTGTTCGAAGTTTTTTTTTTTTTTTTTAACTCTGCAGGTCACTAGGTGTGACGATATGGGAGTTGTTTGAACTGGGTAACCAGCCTTACAGGCACTATTCTGATAGGCAAGTTTTAACATTTGCTGTAAAGGAACAGCAGCTCAAACTGCCAAAGCCTCTGCTGAAAGTGCCTCTGTGTGAACGCTGGTGAGTCGTCTCACAAATCATAATCATCATGAACCACCCACCCTTACGTCTGCCAATTTGAATCACCACATCCAAACCAATCAGTGTTCCCCTCCAGAGACACACCCTCCAATTACATTTCTTTTAAATACATGTAAAGCAATCAATATCTTCCAACCACAGGTGCCTTGCACCAGTCATTGCCATTTCCTCTGGCAGGACCAACAAATCAATACTCCTCAAATCCAATGTGGTCAATCATTAATTTCCCCCCTCTGTAAGGCCATCAATCATACATTTATCCAGTCCTGGTAGCACACAGTCATTTAACTCTGCAGGTCACTAGGTGTGACGATATGGGAGTTGTTTGAACTGGGTAACCAGCCTTACAGGCACTATTCTGATAGGCAAGTTTTAACATTTGCTGTAAAGGAACAGCAGCTCAAACTGCCAAAGCCTCTGCTGAAAGTGCCTCTGTGTGAACGCTGGTGAGTCGTCTCACAAATCATAATCATCATGAACCACCCACCCTTACGTCTGCCAATTTGAATCACCACATCCAAACCAATCAGTGTTCCCCTCCAGAGACACACCCTCCAATTACATTTCTTTTAAATACATGTAAAGCAATCAATATCTTCCAACCACAGGTGCCTTGCACCAGTCATTGCCATTTCCTCTGGCAGGACCAACAAATCAATACTCCTCAAATCCAATGTGGTCAATCATTAATTTCCCCCCTCTGTAAGGCCATCAATCATACATTTATCCAGTCCTGGTAGCACACAGTCATTAATTTACCCCCACACACTCCAATCATTGTCCATTTAACCAAGAGCAGTCATGCATACAAGTATACCACTCCATTCCCCACTGGATACTAAACAATGAATGACCCCACTTTAAGTCTGCAAGGCTACAATCATGCTAAACTGTCCATATATCATATAATCACAAATGGGTTTCTGGCTATCGTCCATACTAGCATCCATTTTTAAGTACCCATAAAACAATAAGATAATTGAGCATTGATAATAGAGCATTATCAAACTATAGTAAAATATAGTTTTTGGCCCTATTCTATTGTAATAATTTACAATCAACCAATTCTGTTTCTTATAAATATATTAGTTTATAGTCTAAAATATTGCCTTTTCTGTTGCATGTGTGAGCAGGTATGAGGTAATGCAGTTCTGTTGGCTGCAGCCTGAGCAGAGGCCTGTTGTGGAGGAAGTCCATCTACTGCTAGACTACCTGTGTGCTAAGGGTGCAACTGAGTCTGAGGAGGACTTTGAGAAGCGCTGGAACTCTCTCAGGCCAAGTCTGGGCTCCAGCAGCTCTCACAGGACACCTCACGTAGCCTCTTCTACTTCTTCCTCATTTCCTCTACTTGAACACTTCTCTATGGCAGAAAGCTTCCAGTCTGAGAATGGGGATGATATATTGACAGTAACTGAGACCAGCCAGGGTCTCAACTTTGAGTATAAATGGGAGCAGGCACGAGCTGAGCAGCCCTACTGCTCTTCTTCAGCTAGTGGACCATTGGGAAAGAATAATCCCCATTACCAGGATGTGTATTACCCTCTTAGCAATTCCACGGGTAGCTGCAAGGGTGAGAGCCTCCCTCTCGGGGTTTCTCCATCCTACTATGTGTCAGACCATCCAGGTGTGGTTCCAGTGCTAAGTGCACACAGCCCCTCAGTATGTAGTGAGTACTACATCCGCATTGAGGAGCCAGTTGATTGCAACATCAATTTAGAAGACACCAATCTTGATTACAGCCCAAGACTTGAAGCCAGTAACAGTAGCTTGTCCTCTACAGGCAGGAGGAGCCCCATTGGGTCTCAGCCAAACACATACTGGTCAGCAGCTAAAGAACCCATCAGTAATGATTATGATTCAGATAGTATCCTAACCATGGAGCCACTCCAAAGAAGAGTTCCAAGCTCGGTAGAGATAGACCAGTCAGAAGTTTATTTTTCTTCCAACGACAGGCACAATTTACAGTGTGAACAGTCACCTCAAGCAGGGCCAGATGTTCATTTGATAGGAGGGCATGGTTCAAACTCTGATCAGCAGAGAAGAGGGCCGGGAAGCCTCTGCCATAGACTGGAGGTGGTAAAGGAAAGCCCACTTGGAGTTTCAATCTCTCTTAGTAGTCCCAGCTTGGCACATTGTGACCCATATCTTGAGTCTAACCAGAGAACTGTAGAAAGTAGTATGGCCAGTGAGGCCTATTATGACATGATGGGCCCCTTACAAAAGAATGTGCCCAGACCCCACTACATGAGTATTGATATTGACACCGGTGATGGCCTTCTTTTGGGGAGGGGGAGTGCTGATCCAGAAGATGATGATGATCTGTTTTCTCAGAACATGTTAACTAATTGGAACTCCAACCACTCAGCAAACAACAACAGTTTAAGCGATTGTACACAAGCTGTGTGTTTTCGAGATGCATACCTTGATTTACATCACCTGACACCCTCTTCTCAAGTTGGGAATTTGAAATCAAGAGTGTTGGAAACAAGAAACAGTTGTACATATAATTCCATCAATTCAATCAAAGACCACTCATACATGGAAGCCACAGATAGTACACTCACTGCTAGTAACCCTCACGCTGACTCAGAGGGTGGTGAATACCTACATTTAAGCCCTGACAGTACTCAGGATGTTGAATCATCTTCCAAATGTCATTCTGTCACAGAAAGTCAGCATATTTATACATGGCAGAAGAACATTGCTCATAAACATATCAAAAACAATACATCAGACTTCCGTGTAGGAGGTTGCGGCAGAATGAATCCATCAACTCTTCCATCGGAGCTGGTAGTGACTAAAGAAAACGTGTTACTTGAGACAAGGATATCCCCTGCACAAAAACTGAAACTTGGGACAGATGGTTCTGCTGGAGTGTGTGGAAAAATGGTGTCATGCCCTAAGGATCTGTCTAGGACTGTCTCAGAGTGTAACCATTTGACAGACAGCAGGATGGTGCCCGACAACTCCAGTATAAATTTGGTGGAAATTAATGACTGCAGTGACGACTGCATGGACATCCTCTCTGGAGTACTAGCAGATTATCCCTTGGACTATGCAGAGGTGGGCAGTATTGACCTAACTCATAGAACACTGCAGAGAGAGACTGGGTCCAGACACTGCGAGGACACAACTAATCTTGCCTCTAGCAGCAGTCCATGTGAGGGCTTCAGCTCTGATACTTACCACACGCCCATTCAGCCAAAATCCTTAGACAGTGGCTATGAAACAGAGAATAATGAATCCCCAGAGTTTATCTTGAAAGACCTTGAAGGAAATACAGCCCTTAGCACTAGTGTAGAATCAGACGAGTGTGACATGTTGCTCCAGATGGACCTAGATGAAGATGTCAATGTAATCCTCCTGCATCCATCCAGCAGTCATCTACCACTGATCAGCATTGGTGAGAGGAATCAGTACAGAGACTCTGCTTATTTTTCTGACTATGACATGGAGAATGACAAGAGCCCCAGTGAAGGGGTCCACATGTTCTTCAGACGCCAAGATGAGGATGATGTCTTTGAACTCAAAGCAGAAAAGGAGGGCTCAGAAAAGACATTTGGGAGAAAGGGACGTAACATGGAGAGTGAGAAGGGACATGACATATCTGTGCCAAAGGACAACAGTGCAGCCCTTAATGCTAAACAATTGTGTCTTAAAAAGACAAGCCCAAATCTGTGTTCATCACCTGCATTGGTTCCAGTGATTTCTATGCTTTCTCCCTTTCCTCCAGAGATGGGGGGTTGCTTGACCAAGGAGTCAACTCCAGATGATGGTATTGGGTTGGAATCTGATCACTCTGGAGAGGAACCAAACTCTGAATGCTACTCTTCCACAGTGTCTGAAGGTTCTTCCTCAACACAGGAGGCCTCAGGTGTGGAGGAGCAGGCTAATGGAGACACCAGAGATTTTTCCTCAGCAGAGTCTATAGGCTCAGACTCTACCATAGTAGACTTAAGTGGGGAGGTAATCCAAGCAGAGGAGCAAGAGGCCTGTAACAAACTGGACAATCCGGAGCAACGGATTGGAAACAACGAGGAAAAGGAAGATTCAGTGGAAGAAGGTGGCATAGGTTCAGCACTTTCAAAACCAAAGTGTGATGTATCTTTGGAGAATATTCTTCCAGCCTTGCCAGAAGATCTAGATATTCCAGCTCCACAGGGGAACGGAGAGGAGGTGGATGAGGAGGATTCAGAGGATAGTGATGAGTCTGATGAAGAACTACGTAGCTACAACATACAGGAGCAGAGTGATGAGAGTGATGAAGAGTTCCCTGTGGTGCCTGTCATTGTGAGCGATCACAACAGTGCACGGCATCTACGCAGCCTCCTCAAAATGCCCTCCATACTGACACAGTCCTTCTGCGATGAGCTGGAGAGCAAGAAAAAAGTGGTGTCATTTTTTGATGATGTCACTGTGTTTCTGTTTGATCAGGTTTGTAGAATTATCTCTTGTAGCATTGAGGTAGTGCATTAAAGGGTTAGTTCACCCAAAAATGAAAATTAGCTTGTGTTTTACTCACCCCCGAGGCATCCTAGGTGTATATGACTTTCTTCTTTCAGACGAATCCAGTTGGAGTTATATTAAAAATTGTCCTGGCTATTCCAAGCTGTATCATTGCAGTCAGCGGGTGTTGCAGTTGACCAGTCCACAAGTCGTCAAATAAAGCTCACACATTCATAATAAAACGTGCAGCAGACGGCTCCGGAGGATGAATAAAGCCCCCCTGTATCAAATCCATGTGTTTTTGTAAGAGAAATATCCATATTTCAAATGTAGTAAACACTTTTCTCTCACTTCTGCTGACTGTCATACACTGAAGCAGTTCTGGTGGAAGACGCAGCACGTCGGCGTTGCGTGATTAGTGACGAATGCGGAGAGAGAACAAAACAAAACGCCGGTCATGAATTAAAAGTACAAACCGAGGATTTTCAAAGAAAAATGTCTGAGGATTTCGATATAAACCAAGAAGAGACTGGTTTTCCTGTGCTAAAGTAAAGTGTTTATTACGTTTGAAATATGGATATTTTTCTTTAAAAAACACATGGATTCGCTACAGGGGGCCTTTATTCATCCCCCGGAGCCGTCTGCGGCACGTTTTATTATGAATGCACAAGCTTTATTTGACGACTTGTGGACTGTTCAACTGCAACAGCCGCTGACTGCAATGATAGAGCTTGGAGTCTATTAGTCTGAAAGAAGAAAGTCATATACACCTAGGATGCTTCGAGGGTAAGTAAAACACAAGCTAATTTTCATTTTTGGGTGAACTAACCCTTTAAGTAGCATGTCATGTTCTTTTCATTTCAGAAAAATACATTGATTTGTGCAGTGCTAATGTAACTCACAGCCTGTGTCTTGCTGTGTATCGACTCAGGAGAGCCCCACGGGTGAGCTTGGGGACTACAGTTTTCCTGTGGAGGCAGAAGTCAATTGCCAGGCTTCAGAGGTGGAGCTGCCACGGTCCCACGATAGGGACATTTCCCCTGAGGATTCACCAGGAAGGAATGTCTCAGAAGAAAGTGAGTGTTCAATAACAATTCCTTTATATTGATTAGATTTTTTTATGGGTAGTACTTCTTGTTTAGTGACATTTCACAAGCCTCTCACACTAAATAGGTGGGGCATTTCAGTGGCAAGATAATTTTCCATTGATGCAAAGCCCTTCAACATCAGAATCTGGCTCTGAAGAGATCGCTACACCACCCAACTCGCCTGTCAAGTCTCCAGATGAAAAACCAGCACCTTCACTTTCCCGATTTAGTGTCTCTCGTTTCTCCATTACGCATGTGTCTGACTCTGACACAGACTCCATTGGAGGTCAGTTCTGTTAACATAAAGACATGGTTGATACAGTTTAGAAACATTAGGTGCTAGATCTAATGCTTTTACATTTGAGTTTGTTGCTGTATGCAGGGTTGACATTGAAAATGAACTAGCTGTCTCTTTTTGTCACACAGGTAAAAGTGAGAATGAAGCCCAGGAGTGAAGGGGTCATTAACCCATTTAATTGAAGAGGTGTTTAGAACCCGTATGGTTTGGTCTCATCAGACTGTGGGCTCTCCTGAATCGCTATATTTTTGTTCTTTTAAACGTGCTGGACAAAAGGGTCCTGTCAACCTGATATAATGTTTGGACACAGTGCCTCATATTGTAGTTGATTAGCCAGCCCCTCCCTTGTGTTCCTAGACAGATGGTGGTTGAGTGACAGTTTTTTTGAGGACAAAGTTATAAGAACAGAAAAAGAGATCTATATAACACAACATATTTATAATCTATGTATTAGAACATGAAGTATGACGATTATAACTTATTTGCACAATTCAGTATCATTCTGAAATCATCCCTTTTTTTTAGACAACATATTGTAGGAAACAATATAGATACAAGGCTGTTGTCCTCATTTGCTTGTCAATATGTGGTTTAGAGTCTGAAAGATCTGTCATAGTGCTTTACATTTTTTCAGCTTGACCCAATGAGCTGCATAAAATAGAGTTACAAGATGTCCTGCCCTCATAAAAGAAAGACCCACATTTATTATTGAGGGTGCCAAAAATGATTTACACTGAGCCCCTCACTATAAGCTGCTCAAAAGTGATATTTTCTATATTTGACCACTTTTAACAAAACTTTAGCTCAGGGGTGTTAAGCGTATGGTACAAAAGTAGATTATATTAACAATATAAACCATCACACTTAAAAGTCCTCATACAGTCTTCAACAGCATTTTGCTTTTTTTGACTCAAGACATCTTATTCAAAAGTGCAGTTTAATCATTAACTCATTAATACTACTACTTCTATTTAGATATCCCAAATATTTTACAGATGACAGTGATATATTACAGTACTTGATTGTGCTGAGAAGCAATGACAGTATTGCAGGAGAACAGATAATAAACCAGCTATTTTCCTTCAACTAGTATGGTAGCATGCATATATAAGTTAGCTCACAAATGGGTCATTCCTGTTTTTGTCCTGCAATTCAAACCTAGACTTTCAGAAATATCAGGCACTTGAACACTTTAAAAAAGCTCATGTGCTACATTCTGAGTGCTTTGAGGATGGCAACTTAATGTGAGAAATAGAAGAATTTAAGATGCTATTTAAAAAGATACATCCAAACTTTGCTATAAGGCACAGTCAATCACCTGTCGTAATGCTTCTTGACTGCAACTTTTGGATGTTTTCATGAGTGCAAGGTTTCACTGTTATAGTTAAAATAATCAAACGATTATAATAGCGATTTCAATTTTAGTCTGTTTTTCACGCAAAGCTATTGTATGACTTCTGAGGAATTAAATAAGCTACATTTATGGTGCGTTTGCCATATTTGGAGCTGTAGCTCAGACATTCAATTCTTTGTGTTCCAAAACTTGAATTTAATATATCATCCAGTATGACATGATAGGGGCATGAAAATGCACAGCATATGACCTGATGGTACTGATGGTGACAAGTTTACTGGTGCTTGTAAGGATCAGAACTTTAGGAAGTCTATCACAGCAATTAGTCTCGTGCATGAATAACTTTTGCTTTGAATCCAAGAGCTACAGGAACTGTTTCAGGAAAAAAAAACAGCGGGTTATCAAAGTCCCAGCTGTACACTTCACACCTGTGGTACTCAGACACATAACCAAGTTAAAGAAGGAAGAGTGACCATCTCGTCTGTGAACAAAATGTGTTACAAACAATAATGGCAGCTCCTGCAGATCTGATCCTTCGTCTGTGATGATGCCTTGTCTCAGAAGTGTTATTTTTGTTAAATCCAATAACAAATAGATGTTCAAAAATATACTACAAAACAATTCTGATGGTCCAGATGGCATGTGGGCCTCATGTGTTTCTACAAGTTTCTCTCAATACATTTAGTCTTTTGTCCCTATATGATCTGAGGTGTTACACCGAGGCAAGTTATGACCCGTTTTACACGATGATCTGTTTAAATGTAACGTACAGCTGTACATGTCATGCTCTGCCTTGAATCACTGGAGCCCATACACATTTGTGCCAATACTGTAAGTCACAATCACTGCACCTGTACCCTCGCTTTCTCGCTGTATGCCTTTCAAGAGTTTTATACTGTGCTAAATCTTGCAGCAGTAGATACTTTTTCTCATTCAGAATATCAGTGCTTCAATCGGCTGGTTATGGTTGCCAAAGAAAGGTCAATTGAAAGTGAACTGAATGAAGCTTTGAAGGGATAAGTCTGGTGTTACTGCCTCATATCTGTCGAACCGTATGTCCTCACAACTCATGCCTACTGTAATATTCTAAAAATAAACCAAACTATAGTTTGTCCTTGTGCCTTTCCCTATATATATATATATATATATATATATATATATATATA